TACTGAATGTACCATGGACTGCCAAGAAAACAAACAGATTCATCTTGGAGAGGATTAAACCAGGCTGCTCCTTGGAGGCAAGGATTCTGGGGCTTCACCTGACATACTTTGGACACGTTGTAAGGAGAGACAGGTCTTTGGAGAGGGACATCATACTGGGTGGAGTAAAGGGACAGCGCAGGAGGGGAAGACCCTCTATGAGGTGGATTGATTCAGTGACTGGGGTACTCGGGATGGGTGTGTTGGGGCAATGAGATTGGCACAGGATAGAGCACGGTTTAGGGCTATTGTACATAGGGTCGCTATGAGTCGCAAGTGACTCGACGGCACATAACAACAACAACAACATCTGAGATGGGCAAGAATATACAAGGTCCTGCATAAACAGGCTTCTCTGAAAACCATATATCAAGGGCACAGCAGAAGAGGCAGAGTATGTGAGTTTTCTTTGTTCTCCACGGCTTTCTTCTAGGCTCTGGGTGCCCAGGTGAAGTTTCCTGGGTGATTAGGGGGGAGAGAACTTTCTAGTCCATGTGTTTTGCCTTTACCCTTCCCATTTCCCTATGTCATTCTTATAATTATCAATATTGACCCAAAAGAAGACAGAGAAACCCAGATGGCTGTCGAATGGCTGTGTCCCCAGGGAAACTGAAAAATGATGGTGTAACTTATAAGGGGGCAAAATTATGTTCTTAAATAACACATTCATTGTTGAATATTTTTGTGCTGCTGTAGAATAAATGTCACAGCAGTTTTAGGAGCAACTGGTAATAATGAGTCATTGAAACACCTGTTCCTCTTTCTTCTAGCGTCTTCTCTTGACAGCCGTGCACCGAACGTCAAGGTAATTTTAAAAGTAGCATTTGTAGAATGATGGCTTTCCGGCTCTGTGATGCCGATGATTGTGTCTCCTCCATCAGGGGGACAGGTACGTTTCAGTGCCACTTGTGAGACCGCGGTGGTTCACCAAGGAGCTCTGGTGGCCGAGCGGACGGGGAGTTACTCTCCCCACTCAAAGGCGGGCAGTTTGAATCCACCAGCTGCTACACAGGAGAAAGACAGCCAGTCTCCTCTGATGTGATTTACAGCTTCTGAAAACCCTCTGAAGGGTCAGCTATGCCTTGGTTCCAACTCCACGTCAGTGAATTTTTGAGACGGTTTGACCAGAATTTAAGTAGAGAGGTGTCGGGGCTCCCTCCCAATGCTTGACTTTGAGGTTCACTGGTTCATTCCCCAAACATAAACTCTTTGCGTATGTGGAATGAGTGGCCACTCAGGGTAAATGTTGACCCAATAGCTACTTTGTTGTCGGTATCTACGATTGAATCGACTTAGACCCCTCATAACCTTATGTTCAGCAGAGGGAAATGTTGGCTAGTCCTCCCACCTCACAAAGGCCAGCACATTCGAGGCTGTCATCACAGCTGACCCTCTGCATCTCCAAACATAGTGTCCTCCGCCAGATCCCTCCTCAGGAAAATGTCGAGTGGGCAGACTGGGCATATTTGATCCATAAGGTCTGTATGAGCTTAAATTCAGAAGGAGAGTGCCAGGTCTTTCTTCCTTGGCATAATCTGGAAACTATGCAGAAAGATGTCCCCCATGGGTGACAGTGCTGGTGTTTGAATTACGAGTGACACAGTCTCCAGCACCACAGCAACACACAAGTATGTCAAACTGACAGATGGGTGGTGGAATCCCACTTTACTGGTGACATTTTCCATAGCCTTTTCTGTAATTAAATAGCTTTTAACATGGACGTGGCAAATAACTAGTTCTTAAAGTCTGATTGCTTTGTCAAGATCAAGTTCAAATGTAACCATAACCAAACAATAATGTGTGCAAAGAATATAGAGTATGTTATGCTTCTTACGCCAAAGTTGTAAAGTGTCTTTTTTAAAAAAAGATACCTTACCTAAATGAGTAATTTCCAAGCCTCAAATATCAAAGTTCAGAATTAGGATTTCTTTGGCTTGCCAATATATGCCAAGCACACAGAATTTAGGGGAGTTAATAAGGAGGTACACTGCTAACGCCGAGGCTGTCCCTGATGGTTTGAATTCACCTGCAGCTCTGAGGGAGGAAACTGGGAAGTCTCCTCCCGTGCTGTTTCCAGCCTTGGAAAACCAACAGAGGATCAGTTATGAGTCAGTCCTGTCTCCACAGCAATGAGTTGGTTAAGAACAGTGTGTACAATGTGTCATTTTCCTTGATTTCTGAGTCCCTAATGTGTTATTCACAGCCATTACTGGTGGAACCGACTCGTAGTGGACCGTCCAGTGGGTTTTCAGAGGCAATAAACCACACAGAAAGAGGTTGCCCATCTTTCTCTCACAGAGCAGCTGATGGATTCGAACAGCCTGTCTTTGGGTTGTCAGCACCACTCCTTACCTACTAGGGCCAGCGTAGCTACCCTAGTCATCTCTAGGCCCCTTATCTTTTTTTTTAATTATTTTTTTTTTTTGTTTGCAGGAGTTCCCTGGGGCAGATACTGCCTCATTTTGCCTCTCCCATCTCTTCCAGGCCCTGCCCCCTTTTGTTTTAACATACATTGAGTAAATAATACAACACTGCAAATAAAGATTAACACACCTTGTCACGCAGGTTATCAAAGAGCCAGATGAGCGGATCATTTTCAAGAGCAACTCACCGTCACGGTCACATCATCTAGATTCATGTACATTTGGAAAGGCCTCTCCCAGTTCTAGTAGCCCGGGGGATGCCAGATTCCAGCAGAGAACTTCGGTTGTCCTGGCCAAGCATCTCAGGTCAGCCTGCCCGCTTCTGGATCGGCCGCTCCTCCGAGAAAGGTTAGTGTTGGTCACCGTCTCTGCTCGCTGGGTGCCCAGTGGTCAGGTTGGGTGAAGCCAGGCCCCATCCAGTTTTGGTGTTCTTAGGGCTTAGGACATCTTGGTATAAGAACATGATGTTCGGGGAGCTCTGGTGGCCTAGTGGCAAGGAGCTGCAACTACAATCCCAGAGGCGCACGGTTCAAATCCACCAGATGCTCTGCCAGGGAAGGAGGGAAAATCTCCTCCTGTACCAGTCAGATCTGATTTGACGGTACACGCACACAAAAAGAATAAAATTAAAAAAAACAACAACAAAAGAACATGATGTTCACTTTCAAAATCTCTGATAAAGCCAGAGTGGAGCTTTCCCTTTGCCTCCGGAAGGCATATTTCAGGATCTGTTAGTTGAAAAGATGATCAATCAGTGGACTTTGGTGTAAAAGATAGTTGCTAACCAATCAGTTATAACTTGTAGCAATGCCACGTGCGTCAGCGTCAACCTGTGCACCATCAATACCTTTCCTTAAAGTATTTTTATTATTATTGTGACTTGAGTGAATGTTTACAAGGCAGAATGGTTTTTCCACTCAATCATCCACACACGTTTTCTCCTATACCATGAATCATATGTCCCCACTGTCTCCCTGTAATTCTCATTTCCATTAGTCTCCTGTCCTGGGCTTTTGTGCTTTCCGGTCTGTGTCCTTGGGCAAACGCTTCTCCTCTGACACCATGTAGTTGCTTGTTTGAAGGAGTGAAAACCTGGTATTTCAACGGGATTTCAGGACCTTGTTTGTTTCTGAAGCCGATTGTCAAGGCTTCCTTTTGAGGTGTCTCCAGAGAACTCTCTAGCATTGTGGTTTCAGCAGTTAGTTTGTGTGCCACTGGCATCCCTGGGAAAAGCAAGTCTTACCTGTTTGCAATGACCAGGGGCTCCAACCTTGGCACGGATCCTCGTGCTTGTAAGAAAGACGTGGCAATGACCTTGGGAGAGTCATTGAGAAGCCCTGTGGGACATCATTCTCATTCACACAGGGCACCGCCAGGACTGAAGCTGGCTCTCTGGCAACTAGTTTAACTCTGGAATCATTACTTTGCCCCCTACTATTCTTTACAGGCTGTACATCAAAAAAAAGAAAGCATTTGCTTTTTTCAGTGCAAACGGGCTCATTATAGAAAGGGTGGACATCATAGAAAAATAAAGAATGAAAGAAATAATCACTGTTCTTACCACACTGAGAAAAACAATACAAACATGTCAGCGTATTTTCTTCTTCTTTTTTAAGACTTGTCTACTTGTTTTACAAGATTATTACATGGGGAAAGACGTCACCTTTCTGTGGACTAGATGCACAGGGCAGGCGAGGTTTTTGTTATTAATCAAACTGGACCCTCTAGTGAAATAACTAACCAATATGGTTTACCTGGGAGAGTCTCTGTTTTAAGGGCTGCTGGTAGTACAGTGGTTGTTCTGCTAACTGAAAGGTCAGTGGTAAAATGTGGCTGTCTGCTTCCATCAAGGTAACAGCCGTGGAAACTGGGGGCAGTTGTACTCTGTCCTGTAGGGTACCTGTGAGTTGGAATCAAAGTGACAACAATAGTTTGGGTTTTTCTCCATTATTGCCCTGAAAGCCCTTTATCTAAATCCTCAGTTCTGGGCAAACGGAGATGCTTGGGACTGGGACGGGTAGTATCTGAAGAAAATTGCTACCACAGATGATGAAGAATATGACCGACTGCTTTTCTCTGCATTATTCACAATGAGAAAAAGAGGGGAAATCTTATCTCAAAACAGCACAATTGTTCATTAAGAGACTCAGGTAGAGACAGACTCCAGCACAGAAGTGGCACCGAGAAGTGCCAGGGACATGTGTAATGAGGGCGAGATTGGCTAAGAAGTGATGGAAGATTTCAGTACTAAATGTTCAAGTCACAGACTTGGTGAAATGAAAGAAAATATTTAAGTTAAATTTGGGTTTCCTGAAATATAATCCTTGTGGTAGAAAACAATTGGGGTTAAATTTGTTTTTAGACTTTGTAGATTAAGTTTTTAAAGTAAAAGTCATGTTTGTTCATTAGAGAGAGAAAAGCACAGTAAGAGGAGAGAGAAAAAACACAAGTCCCTCCTGGCCACGTGCCTGAAACACACCCTCCGAATGTCTGGGTGGTTTTCGGTTCTACTATCTTTCCCGGGGTGATGTGCCAATCATGGTAATGGGCAACCATGGTGGACAGTGTTGGCTGGAGCTTCCCAACTAAATCAAGCCTGGAAGCAGGAGCGGCATCCACTTCCAAAATTGGCTTGCCTCTGGAAACTCTATGTACGAACAGTGCTCAGGCTGTTCGTTCATAGGGTCGCTATGAGTCATCTACGACTCGACGGCATTAAACAACAACATCTTTCCCGGGCTGAGGCTTATGAGAAAGACCTTGAAGTTGAACTGTGGGTGACACTCTGCATGTTGCTGTCTCCCGCACCCCTCCCCATACTACCATATTTTGAGGGAGCTCTGGTGTCCAGGGGATAAGAAGCAGTGCTGCAATCCCAAAGGCACACACTTCAAATCCACCATCTGCTCTGTGGAAGGGTGAGCAATCTCTTCTATGTGATTTACGGCCTGTGAGAAGCCGCTGGAGGCTCAGCTGTGGGTTGGTTCTGACCCGATGGCACACACAACAACATTGTTTTGAGTGTCAGTCCTCCTTGTTATATGCCTAGAATAAGCCTCCTATGCAGTAGTTGCCTAACGTGGTGTCTTCTTACGTCTGTTGGGCAGATTCCACCCCAGTTTTCATTCCAAGTGGAAGAAGATCCACGAGAGAGTGTGCGAACTTCTGGCATTCTGCAACGCTCAGCTGCCAGCCCAGACCAAGGTGAGGGGTGCCGATCAAGCCCCATCTTTGCGGACAAACGATTGTTGGATCTGGGACTCGTGGGCTAATTGAGGGCCTCTACCAATCACCTAACCACACAGAAAGTGCACGGTGGTGATGGTTACAGACGACAGTGCCTGGTGTCCTGAGGGAGAACGGTAGCAGTGTTTCTCTGGGCTGAGAATCAGGGCAGGATTTCCCCAGAAGAGAGGCCTGAATTAGACCTGATGGATAAGGACCAGGTGTATGGATAAGGACTTGTAGCAGAAGGAACTCTGGTGGGACAGTGCTCAGTGTGTTGGCCTGCGAACCAAAACCTTGGCGGTTCAAATACACTAGTTATCCATGGGAAAAAGATAGGCGTTTTCCTACTGTAAAGATTAACAGCCTTGGAAACCAACAGAGGTTGCAACTGAGTCCACACCATGGGTTAAAGTGTCCAGAAGGAGTCCTGCACGGGGAGGGAGCATGGCTGTCCTAGTTTTCTATCAGTATCATAAGCGGGCATAACAACAACAACGTCATAAGTGGGTGGCTTTGAAGAACAGGAATGCTTTTTCTTGCTGTTCTTCTGGAGGCTAAGCCTGGCAGGTGTCGATGTCCCGTGAGCCTCCATCCAGGTTTCAGATGTTCCGTGTCTTCTAGACAAGCTTCCTGTGACATCCATCTGCCCCTGTGGTGTCTCCGTGTCTGTTCTGATGTTTGCATCACTCAGGCGTGATTAGGTTACCATCCCCTCTGCTCTCTTACGAAGCAGGAGTGGCATCCACTTCCTAAACCACACGCCTCTGGAAACTCTCAGAACTTTGAGAAACAACAATAGTTATCGAAAGGCTTCAGGTCTTTTGTTCACAGGGTCTGGGAGTCAGGCTTGACTCGACAGCAATCAGCATAACAACTGCTCTCTTCTGACTTAATTTACCACGTGTTTCTGAGTAGCATCACAGTGAGGCATATAAGCCTGATCTCTAATCTTTATTTATGAGAGGAGGCACAGTTCACCTATGGTGCTTTCAGTGGACCAAGTAGGGACAGTGTCACTGGCCATCCACGACACATAGTTCCCTGCCCAGAGAAGGACTCGGCTGTTTGTGGTCTGGCAGGGCCCTGATGGGGATGGACATCACTCTGCAACTTAGCAACGTGTTGACAGAAAATTGAACAATTCTGTCTTAGAAGAGGCACAGCTAGAACGCTTCATAGAGGTGAGAATGGCAAGACTTTGTCGCAGGTGCTTTGAACTTGTGTTCTCGGGAGGGTCTGTCCCTGGAGAAGGCCTCGTACTTGTGACGATGAGTGAGAGAGAGGAAGACCCTGAACGAGATGGAAGGACGCGCTGGCGGCAACAGCAGGCTTGCGCACAGCGGCCAGCGTGAGGACGCAGGCCGGGCAGCCGTCCCTGCTCTTAAATGTCGAGCTGTTATGAGCTGGACCACTTGATGGTGTCTAATAACAACAGCAACAGAAATGAAATGTTTTCAGCTGTTGGTCTTCAAAGTGGTGCAAAAAAAGCAAAGGCAGCTGAGGGTGGCCGTGTGTGACCTCTGCTAACGCCACAAGGGGGAACAGCCTTGCTCATCATCATCCTCCACAGCACAAAACAAACAAATTTTTATGAGTTCAGACGCCCCCCACCCCGGCACACACACTCCTGCACCTTCTCTCCTATCCAGCGCCACTCTTAATGCTTTACTGGGTCTGAAATCCGTTGCAGTGGCTCACAGAACACACAGAATCATACTCAAGATTATGTGGCTTATTAGGAAAAGTCAAAAGGCTTTATAATTCAGGAAACTCTGGTGGCCTAGTGGCAAGAAGCTGCACTGCAATCCCAGAGGAACACGGTTCGAATCCACCAGATGCTCTGCCGGAGAAGGAGGCGCAATATCCTCCTGTACCAGTCAGATCTGATTTGACGGTACACGCACAAAAAATTTAAAAAAAAAAAAAGGCTATATAGTTCATATTGGCACAATCAGGAGAGCTGCTAAAATGTGCTTGCAGGCCCCTCAGCCTTCAGCCTCATGGCTTTCTCAGTCTTGCTCTTTCTGCTTCCCCTAAAGTCCTCAAACAAACTTGGGCGAAGGCTCCTGGCTCTGGTTCTGTGGGGTGGCAGTTACACTGTCAGTTCTGTGTCCTGTCAGGTCCCTGGCTTTCTCCTGTGGCTGCCCTGCTACTCCATAGGCTGCAGTCTAAGTGATACAGGAATCTTTGGCCTCAAAGGATGCACACTGCATTCTCTGCTGCTCCTTTGCTGGTGTTGAGATTCCCAATTTCTGCTGCTGAATTTGCTCACTTCAAAGGCAACACTAGCCAATCTCTTTGTGGATGGGCTAATATACCCTATTGGCATGTCCTTGCCCACCCACATGACAAAGTCAAAGTCAATGGTTAAGAAAGCCATTTTGAACAATAAACCCTTAACACCACAGAAAGTGAAGCAGTGTTTCTAATCCATGGATAGATATTCCCAGTAGGCTGAGTCTACAGAAAATATAGCAATTAGTCCAAGTGACATTTCACCATTTCAAAGGAATGAAGGAGCATTTAACCAGCAGTGCTGCTCAGAGTGGCTGGCTTCAGCTATGTAGTTGAACTGATCATGTTGACTTAGAGACTGACATATCCTACGCTGATAGTATGACATGTGTGAATCGATTTCTCGTACTTTGGGCATCTTGTCAGGGGGCACCCGTCCTTGGACAAAGACATCGTGCTGGGAAAGTGAAAAGGTTAGTGAAAGAGGAAAATTCTCAACAGCATGGATTGACACAGTGAATGGACATCAAGAAGATTGTGAGGATGGTTCAGGATAGACCAGAGCTCTGCGTCATTCGTTCATGGGGTTGCCATGTGTCATAGTTGACTCGACAGCATCTAACAACAATAGCAATAGGGTGATGAGGGATTTTCACTTCTTTTCCAAGTCAGTGAATTTGTCCTGTTAATACCCAAGCTTTCAAGTAATGGATGCCGTTTAAAATGTGGTTGTGTTTGTGTTTTGTTTTTTTTATTAAATTTTATATATATATATATTTTACAGAGGTTTTGGATTTCCATTCATTCATTGC